GTCATGGTCCATGGTGCCCAGCAGGATTTCAGCAAAGATGAGATGGAGCCTGACCGGAACACCAGGTACACAGGGAAAAGGAACCGGTTGCTCTGTGATTTAATTCACATTGGATGCGGTGGAAAGGGGTGGGGCATCAAGGCAGGAACCCAGGATGCACCATGGGAGGGGAGGGGAGGCGAGGCGAGGGCCCTTTGGCTATTCCCAGTCCTCCCATTCTTCATCCTCCATCTGCAGGACAAGCGGGAAAAGGCAGAGAGAGAGAGAGAATACAAGGAGAAAAGCTCAGTTTTAATTAAGATGTAGAAAAGGAATAAAGAACAAGCATTGAGAGGAATTGCATAATGCAATACAACATTAAAACCTTTAGCTGTCAGCCGGGCAGCCTGCATTTCACCTGCCAATTGATTTTAATATTCAAATTATTATTAAGAGCTGAATCCAACTGGACAATACCCTTGCATTTTATTTAAAACCTGCTCCTGCATGGCACAGCTGTGTGTGTGATTTTTTTTTTTAAGAGCAGCAGAAGAGGAATCCAGTGCCACAGGACCCCCAAAAATGCGGGCAACAGAAAAAGAAGATGCATCTTTCCTAAAAAGCCACTTACGACTGCAATCTTACAGGCCATGTCAAAGGAGGAAGCCCCTCGGAAAGCAACAGAGTGGCTCCCACGTCCATAGAGACAGGATTGTCCATGGAACCCTCAGCTTTCCATTCCCAGCCCGACTCAAGAGAGTCACGGGATGGCTTTGGTGCCCAAAAACAAGCAGGGCTGGAAACTCATCTTCTTCCAGCATCCGTTTTCTAACAGCTGCAACAGAAACAGCAACCGAGCAAGACCCGGATGGCTGCTTTTTAAAGTAACTTATGGAATTAATTCAGCGGCACCCCAGGGAGCCTAAGAAAGGTCTTCCCTGGGGCATCTCTGGCTCTGCAGGGTCCCTGGCGGAAGGGATTTGGGCTCACCTCGCCTGAGATGTCCACCTTGGACAGGACCAGCTGGACTTCTTCTTCAGTCATGTCAAGGTCAAAGTCCTTCTCCCAGTCCTCGCTAATATCCGTGCTGGAGCCTGGAAGAGTGAGGAAGCAACATGCAGGGCTCACCTCCTGAAGAATACAGAGATTGGGCTGTGGGATTTGGAAGAGGACCGCCTGCACCTCTGTGGGACATGAAACACTAGGAACCGAGACATACAGGCTGCCCCCAACCGGCCCCCACGGCAGGGCAGGAAAGCAGCTCCTGAGAGTTAAAAAAGGGTCTGCAACCAGGATCCTCAGGACTAGAAAGAACACAGGAAAACATCAAGAGCGGCAAGAGTTCCTTCTTTTAGAGTCCAGTGGTTCCCCGCTTTGGGTCACCCAGATGTCCTTGGACTGCAATGGCAAGAGTTCCTTCTTTTAGAGTCCAGCGGTTCCCCACTTTGGGTCACCCAGGTGGTGTCCTTGGACTGCAAGGCTTCTGGGAGTTGCAGTCCAAGAACACCTGGGGGACCCAAGGTGGGGGAACCACTGCTTTAGACTACAGACTTCCCTCCCAGCATGGCTAGCAGCATCCTGGTCTAAAATATTTTGGGAAGTGCAGTCAGTGGGGCAAAAAAATGTTTCTGCTATATCGGGAACCCACTCGTAGGAGACCAGGCGGAGAGCTAGGCTTTGGAGCATCCGATGACTCTTGATCGACCCACCTTTCTTCCCGTTGTTGGAGGGCGTGGATTTCCCGCTGTCCGAGTTGAGCTCAAAGAGGCGCAGGTCCATGGTTGCCCCGTCCTCTCGCAGGGCCTCCACCCTGCTTGCCGGCTTGGCCTCTGCTTGAGCCTTGGGCTGCTCTGGAGAAGGCTTGGCCTCCGGCGGCGCCGGCGGCGAGGGCCGGGCTGGCTCTGGGGGTTTTGGCAAGGAGGCCTGCTCTTCCGCGGAGGCTTCCTGCAGCCGCTGGGAGAGATCTCCGGCCCCAGAGAGCTGGGTTCCAGTCTGTGAGGGCGTGGCGGGCACCGCAGCAGGACTGATGATCTGGGTGGCCAAGGAGACGCTGTCGCTGCTTTCGGAGGGGGTGGCCTCGGCTGTGGCGGCACCGAGCATGGCCCAGCTTTCCCCCGAGGCCTCCAGGGTCGGTGCCACGACGGCTGCAGAACTGGGAGAAGCCGGCTTCCTTTCTTGGAGGGGCTGCAAGGGGACGTGGGTTTGGGGGGACGATGACCCAAGAAAGTCCTCTGTTGCATGAGAGAGAGAGAAACGGAGTTCCACTGATAAGAGTGGGGAAAAATCATACTATGCTCACTGTCCCCAAACATCTTAATTTTCCCTTCCAAAAGTATAGGGAAAAAAAATAAGTGATTGCTAGATTCCTCTGAATATGAATTTCTGTGTTTTTCTGCCTTCTCGTCTGCACCTTCCTACATTTGGCCTCAAAGTCCAGCCAAAGAAGGTCTATTCTCTGCTTGGTCCTTCCTGCTGGCCTTCTGATCAGCTACGGCTGAACACGGCTGGTCGAAGAGAGGGGCGGTCTTTTCAACAAACACAGAAATCCTGACACAAAAGGCCCCAGCAGAGCCCGCCATGACTTGCCCCTCTCCAGGGGAAGGTGGCGATGCTTCACTCACCCTCTTCTTCCTCCCAGCCTGGCTCCTCCACGTGAACGCTTTGCTCAGCCCGCTGCTTCAAGGCCTCCCTCCGGAACTCCTCCTGAGGAAGAAAGGGATTTGGGCAAGTGGCAAGAGCCGCTCCGTCAGTCCCTCCTCCTCCTCCTCCAACTGGGGAGGGGAACTTGTGGCTTCGGAACAATGCCCCCCCCTCGCCCCGGACACAGAGTAACCTCTTGGGTGAGGAATAATTTCCTGGCTGCTGAAACTGAAAAACCAGATGGCAAAGGGAAGGGAAGAAACACCTGCAGAGCGACTGTCCAGAGACCTGATGAGGGGCCACAGAGATGAGAAGCAGGCGGCTTATAAGCTTGGAGGAAGGGCATTTCTCTTCCATCCCGGCTACAGCCCCTCGGGTGCCTCTGTTTGGTTTGCCTTCCTTAGCCTTTGATGGCTCTGCCTAAAATTAACACTCAGGCCCCAACGTGGATGACCAAAGATTGCAGAGGAAGGGAGAAAAGAGGGCCCGCAGTGAGGCAAAACCAGGAGCGGGCATAAATTCAGTTCAGAAAAGCTGCTGATCTCAGGGGAAGACCCTGAAAACCACAGCAGCTCCTAAGCCCCTTCAAAATTACTACGTGGAAAGGCCATCGGAACATGGGAACCGAAGCAAACCTTCTAGGGGAGACCTAGAGGCAAACAGGCGCAAGGTGGTACAAATCTTTTCCCAAAGGCAGTCCCTCTTTCAAGGTACGACAAAGAATCAAGTGCCGGGAAGAAACAGCCGAACCCTCCTTGAAACCCCCTTGTGGCATGCCGACGGCATCCTCCAGCGACCCGTACTGTTTTCGCCCCTGGAGGCTCACCTGCTCCAGCTGATGGACCTTATAGAAGTAGCGTTGCCAGAACTCAGAGTGGGACACGGCCACCGGCACCTGGAATGGTGGGAAGGAGGTGTGAGGAGGAGCAGGGGGTGGTGAGGGCCCAGCTGGCTTTACAGCAGGTAAACATCACCCCCCCTGCCCCCCCATGTGTGAAAAGGCTGCCTTGCAGGCCCAACTCCCTCCTTATAAAAAAGCACCAGCCATGCCCACAGGCTGCCCTCTCTACAGGTAGAGCAAAGGGTGGGAAAACCTGGGGCTCTGGGAACAAATCTGGACCTGCCGGGTTCCTCAGATAGCCACGTTGCCCTTCCCAGGACACTATTCTTTGGTTCTTTCCAAAGTTTTGTATGGCTTTTTCCCCCCCTAAAAGTCTGACATGTCTCCGCTAAGGCTTCGTTGCTGATTGCAAGAGCTTTAAACTAGAAGGCACTGGCATTCTGGATCCTAACCCCGTCTGAAACATGACCATGTCCTCGGGGTTGCTCTGAGTCAATTCTGCTCTGAAAACAGGTCGTCATCCTTGATGCTGAGCTTTGTCACATAAAGAGAGGGTCTAGCTCTCTCTCTCTCTCTCTCTCTCACACACACACACACACACACACACACACACACCCCTTGTGTGAGAGGGACTGCACCTTAACAACGACCTGGGGAAAACAGCAGTGGGGAAATCACTCTTGAGAGCAGCAGCCATTCAAACCAGGGTGCCCCCCCCCAGCTGCTGCTGCACCGCGATCACGGACCATGTCGGCTACTGCTAGTGGGAGCTGCTGTCCTGCAACAAGGTCTACTTTGCTCAACCCCTTTTCAGACGAAAAGGCAGGTCCGATCCCTTCCCGGTAGAAACATTTAACAGGGTTTTCGTGGCATTCCCAATCGGCACCCCGAGGGAATGGTCCTGACCTTCCTTTTTTAAAAGAGAAGCCAGGGGCACCTCAAGGAGGACAGGACAAAGGCGGCCCGTGGGGAGGACCTGGCTCGCCGGGGGGGGGCGCAAGCCACACGGCATCGCCTTACCATCTTGGAGTAGAGGGCGCGAACGGAAGGGCTGTTCACGAGGAGGTCTGAGATCTCCCCTTTCTTCTCTTCCAGGCTGAAGTGCGACAGCCAGGCCTCAAAGAGCTCAGGGGGTCCTGCAGCCAGGCAGTGGGGGGTTTTTTTGGGGGGGGGAGAAAGGACAAATAATAAAGCCACGTCACTGCAAGCAACGTACGAACAGCCAGCAAGAATGGTCAGAACGCAAGGGAATGTGTTACTGTTTACATTTTTCATTGACCTTTCCTCCAATATGCTCCAGGACATGACCCCCCTCTGCCCACTTAATCCTCAGTACAACTCCAGCCACGTATCATGCAGCGGGTTTTTAAAACCTATTATTTCCCAAGATTCATGTCAGGGCTCCAACCCATTCAGTGGACATCCATTCTGTCTGCCTCATCGCGCCCCCCCCCCAAACCAAACTTGGCTATCCTGGTTTGGCTACAGAAAGAGCAACAGCCAATGGTCTTCCTCTCTACTTCAAGCGTTTATTAACTGTCTTGGTATCCCAGTTTGTCGTAGTATTCGTTAACATAAAAAGACTCGTGTGCTTTAGCCTCTCCTCGTCTGAAGTAATGGCTGTTTTTGTGACTCTCCATCCCCAGAACAGGATGGGCGAACCACACTGCGATGACATGAATGAGAAGGGCATTCAAAGGGCGCTGGTTCCTACTCCAGTCCTCTGAAGACGCCGGCCACAGTGACTGGCGAAACGTCAGGAAGGACAACCTTCAGAACAGCCAAAGAGCCGAAAAACTCACAAGAAACATCAAATCCCATCCGTGAAGGCCTTCGAGAATACACGCAAGGTTTTTGCTTGGCAATGCGCTGCAGCCCCGACCGGTTCCTTTCCAGAAAGCCCTCGTTCCATAATCTTCCCCTGCCCCAGGTTCCTGACCCGACCCCCAACTAGCCTTTAACGTACCGTCAGGTTCATTGCAGTAGGTGGCTGGATCAGACTGAAGGCTGTAGAGGCGGGCCTAGACGGAAAGAGGCAAGGGGGGGAAATGGATGAGGCAGGCATGTTCAAAACAGAGGCAACCTTTTGGGGCAGGGGAAAGAAGGGGCACCTGAAAAATCACCTTGGCACTGTCATACAGCTCTGTTGTGCCAGACGGGGTGGCCATCAGTGTGATGACATCACAATCGATGGTCTTATCCGGCGAAGGCGCAAACGTGTCTGAAATGACGCCCAGGAAGTTGGAGAGTCCCTTCCTCACTTTCTCCGTTGCTCCCGAAGAACCTTCCGTCTTCCCAAACATATTTTAAAGAAAGGAGTCAGTAGAAACCTCAGGCAACAGAACTAGAGATACCCATCCTACAAAATCTAGCATGATGTGGGCTTAAATGCATAAAAGTAGTAGAGAATTAAAATGTACTGGGAGGGACCATTATGGTAAAAAATGAATCAAAACCCGCCAGCTACGCTCCCCCCCCGCCCCCACCATGTTGCTCTTGAGGGGCACTCACAGCTAACTTCTCCTTGACCACGCTGGCTGTGGCCGCGATGGTGCAGGCAGTGTCATGCTGGACCACCTGGGTGAACTCTGTCAGGTCGCGCTTCATGAACTCCAAGGCCTCGGTGGACTGCAGCAAAGTGGCACAAGAATACACTCGTTTGGGACTGTGGAGTAACCTCAGACAAATCGGTTAGGAATGGGGGGGAATTGGGGGTGGGAGACCAGGCAGCCTCGGAGGCAGAAGCCTCTCGCTTATCCAAGGGTGTGGCCACCAAACAGACACACCAGAAGGAGTGGATCACGGGCAAAGAGCTCCATGCTTACTGGCGAAGGTTTCAAAATGGGGCTTTGGCTGCACATGAGCCTGCACTACCAACAACATCCTGGTCTTCAAGAATATTGTTTCGTGCATATGGTAATGTCAGAGCAATGGTGGTGCAGTGGACATGATGTCAGTCTAGCTTAATTCCCCTCTCAGCCATGGAAACGCATGTGGGTGGCAGCAGTAAACGACTCCTTGAACATCCCACTCCTATCCAACGGAGTAAAAAAGCTACTCGGATGAGGAGTGAAACGTTTCAACCTAACAAGAAAGAAGCCCAGTTGCCATGAGTCAACCTCCAGATAACCTCACTGGGATGACTGAAAATCTTCACAGATGTATCCCTCACATCCCTTAAAAAATCCAGTGGGGTGGCCTTAAGTCAGAATCTTTCTGAAGGCAGGTAACATCAACAGCAAATACGGCAACACAATGCAATAAAATGGCAGTTCTGGCACCATATGTAGCTACAACATGGGAATGACACAAACCCTGTTCAGGTAATTAGGAAGGTTTCAATCCCAGAGAGGGAGGAAACCCAGACCCTCACTCCTCAAAACCTTGTCTGCTCCCCTCCCATCAAAATAGTTTTCTGAGCGTCAATTTCAGCTTGCTAGAAAGACCACCATCTTCCTCTCAATTCCTGTTTGAAGGAAAGTGCTCCTACAAGGAGCCAAAACAGGGAGCACTCACTTGCTGCAATGACTTTTTTTTGTTTTTGTTTTATTGCTGTACGTCCATTTCCATCAAAAGTTCTGCCTTTCCATTTCAAAATTTCAAAGTGAAAGGTTTGGGCAAGAGGGAAGCCAGAACCACCCCCTTCCGTCATGCTTGATGAAGGCAAGCCTCTTTTAATAAAAACGGTTAGTATTACCTATTAACTATTTCTAATTTACTGGTAACACTGGCTCTTTGGGAAACCCACCTTATTTATTACCAGAGATATACACAAATAGGGTGCAGCCTTGTCATCAGTATGGGCAGGTTAAGTGTATTAAACCAGTAAGACTTCATGACTAACAGGGTTGTGACTACAGTCTAAAATATTTACAAGGGGCAAAGCTCACCAGACATAATGTAACTAATTCTGAATAAGCACCTTTAACATTACACTGCCAGCGGGGCTAGGGTGAAATCTACAAACCTTACCAGGTTTGTTTATAAAACAAGTCTGTGAAATGGGACACTACTTCCTGTATTATTAAATCAGATATAACAATAGTTGTGTCATTGTAATAATAAAGGGAAGTGTACAGACAGGCATCTAAATCCAATATCCTGTCCCATGAGGATGCTAGTTGTAAAACTAATCCTGAGGGGAAAAGAGGCGGAGGAGGCATAGGGAGAGAAGGGAGGAGAGCATGAGGAGACCTTCCTTGCCAGCCAACCGGTTTTCAAGAATGTAGAAGCACCTGCCTCAACCTGCTGTCAACGCAGAGACAGAAAGACCAGTCTCTGGCCTACCCAGCTACTGGTTTTACAGAAGTTCAAATGCAGTGCCTTCAGCACCTTTTAGAAGAATAGGCAACAATCGCCCCCAAAAAGAAGCTTCCAGATGAAAACGCTCCTTTGGAAGTGGCTTGTTCATGCTGACAAGAAGCCCACGTGGCTTGCCATTATTAAGTTGTGCCCTTTTTAAAGTGTCTTCTCTCTAACTCACAGTTGGTTAAGAAGCAAATCAACCCACCTTCTCTTTGACCGTTTGCAGGCTTTGCTGTAGCCAGCTCCTCCACCAGCCTCCATCTTCCCTGTTACAGGACAAACATATGAAGCTGAAAGTGGGAATTTTACATCAAAAAGTCAAGGCAAGGAGCTGCATTAGAAACAGACAGGTATTGTGACAAGTCCTGTATAACAATAGACACATTTGCTGCTTTCAATTGTGTGTTCCGACGCACCCTTCAATGGCAAACACAGGAAGACCTTGGAATCAAAGTACGTTTGGGTCTTCCACTTATGTCCCTCTGCCACATTTAAAATTATTTACATCCTTGCACTGCAGTAACAGATTTGGCTTGATATTTCCAAGCACCACTACAGGACAGGTCTGACCAGGCCTTTCCTTTATTGCTGCCATTACTGCTGTGTGTTTCCCTCCCCTCTTCTTCCCCTCTCCCACTTCCTCCCACAAACAGATGAAACAAGAAAGAAACTATACCAGTAAGCATAACCTGGAGTGTAGTGACTGGGATTGGATTTGGGAAGCCATCAACAAGCAATCTAAGCTTCTTAGCTGTGATAGCATGGCCAATCTGCTGAAGGTTCAAGTAGGCAATAAATCCTGCGGAACTCAATGGACTTAGTTCTAACAAGTCATCTTTAGACATACAATGGCCAGTAATAGGAATCTATAGAATGACGCATAAATAAACATCAACACCACAAATGCGTATTACAAAGTTAGGGGCAAAATCTAACACTAGTGCTTCCTCAAGCAGATGCATTTAAAGGAATGGGACCTATTAGTCGTAATTAAACTAAGCCCCACTGACTTCCCCGGTTCTCCTCTAGAATTAATGTCGGATTTCGTCAGCATTTCAAAACATGAATACAGCGAACTTGTACAGATTCTCATTGACATCAAAAGTACATAAACTACCACGTTGAAGGCTCCTTCAGTATCTGTCAAAAATGAAAGGCACAAACAAAAGAACCAGTCATGCTGTTAATAACACGCTGCTGAAAGGCATGTGAGACAATTAGAGACTCTGTGCTCCATATTTAGGTCATCTAATTCAGCCTGGATGACAGCAGAAAAATGTGGGTTTACCAGATCTCCACCACCACCCCAACTCAAAAACACAAAGCATTTCTTAAATCAAAGCTTCTCCAGAATCTTCCTTTTCACAAAGTGTAAGAAATCGTCTCATCTCAAGCAAGCCACTATAATTCAGTAACCATTTCCAGCATCCTACAGATTCTTCGCAAAGGCTCAGAATTTGACTCGGGAAACTGGGATCCAAATCTTTCCTTCACCACTAACTCAATGGATCGCAAACTACTATGTCTCGGTCCGCGTCTCAACTCGTCTGCGAAACTGGCCCCTAAATGGAGCTGATGGACAGATCGCTTAACAAAGGAGACAAGAATTGCAAAGCACCTCCATGAACCAGAGCCATTTATTCTGAGGACAGGCCTATCCAGACTTAGGTGGAGACTCTCAAAGAGTCTGAACCTACTTCCCACTCGTCCTAATCATGCGCCTTCTCAAAGGCACGGGTGCGAGACAAGCTTCCCTTCCACCGGCACCCTCTTTTCCCTCATTCCCTTCTGATGCCTTAATATGGCTGGGAAGAGGACCCTCCACGCAGATGGCCGAGACCTCCAACAAGCTGCCTCTAGAGAGCCTGAAATCAGCCTTCCGGGCGATCTGTGAAAGCAGAGGCCAAAAGCCACTCCTTTGCCCAAGGAAAGCGACTTGACGTTACTCAAGGGAGCTCTCTGCCAGAGCTTGGGTTCCAAACGCTCCACCTTCCCTTTCACTTTAAGCGTGTGTCGCTCCCCCCTCCAACGGGAAACCCAGCCTTGCCCCTCTCGTTGCCCCCCCCAAACCCTAAAGGAAGCCCCCCTCCACTCC